ATCACCATTGGCAATAACAATTAAACTAATCAATCAAGCTAACATCTAAGTGTATTACAGTTTATACCTTTTATTGTTTCATTATAATTTGATAGCACTTTAATTAACTTGAGCGGTAACAAGTTAATCAAGATGCTAATACTAATCTGAAAATAATCGAAACCCAAAGAAATATATTTATTAATATATAAGAATATCAATATTACCTTGTTCTTCATTGGGAACAAAACCTTGTCTTGAGATGTTCATATGAGTAGTTCCAAGAGCATGAACATTGTCAATGTGAAGATTAATTGAATAAGGCATCTGAAAATGAGATAAAATAAGATTATGATTAAGATATTGTATTTATTATCTAAATTTTCTGTTACCTTTTGACCAATTAAATTAACCCAAGTGAAATTAAGATCACAAATCTTAGCATCGACCGGCATCTCAAAGCCAAGAGCATATTCATTAACGGTTCCGTTTTTAACATAATAAATATCAGATTGAAGACCTGCGATCAAGAGGATTAGTGTTGAAGATAAAGAAATGGTTAAATTGAGAGATTATTAGAGATCCGGTTTTTCCTGATGTAAATCTCACCATCGGATCAGTGATAAAATCAAAGTTTAAAAGTAAATCAAAAGGTGAGAATAATTCAGAGGTATGAGAAAATAGAGTATTTCATGAAAGAACTGAATTCATACCGATTAAACGAGAGACTTCATCACGATTGATGTAGAAATCAAGGAATCCATGAGTTAATTTGATTAGAATTAAGAAAAGCACAAGGAATTGGTTTAACCATTTGATTGAAATGACCAACATGATATTTGATATTAGATTAACATCAAGTCATAACATTAATTTGAACAATCAACAAATGGTTCACTAATTATTTTAATTGTTAGTCAACTGGGAACATTATCACCTCTATGAACAAAAAATGAACCGATGAACCAATGTTTGAATGTTTACAACCAATGAAACATGTAATTGAAAAGCATAATAATAATAATCCAATTGATTCCACTAATCACTACGATCCTACAAGACCATTAATCCATTAATCTGATGATCAGTTTCTGCTTGAATCACATTCTGTTGACTTTATTGGATAAAAAATGAGGCGAAAAAAGTTGCAACATGTTGTTGATACACAAAGAGCACAAACAATGAAGAATCACCTTTAACAGGTAAACAAAAGTCACACAAGAGGAGGAACAATAATTACCCAATTGACCAATTAATCAATCGTTTAATTAAACAGTTGAAAAACTATCATGTTATTGTTTGTATTCCATGTGAATGAGTTGGAAGAAAAATTCATGAGCAACAGATAGAACATCATGTTGATAGAGAGAAGGTAAAAACACTGAATTTTCTTCTTCTTCTCCTCAAGTGGCTCTTCTTCAAGACGCCCTAAAAGGTAAGTTTTTTGCCTTTTCTCTTATTTACTTCTCCCTATTATCTTCATTTTCTCCCTCATTCTCTCTCTCTCTTTCTACTGCTCTCTTTCTTTTATCTGCTTGTTATCATCCTCTTTCTAGAATTGTAGTTACCTGAGTTTTCGTTTGTTGGCAAGAAAAAGGAACAAGAAGTGAGAAGGTAAGAAGATGATTTTTGAGTCTCTTGTTCTTCCATTTTGTTAATCATCATGAATCTTCCTTGATTGTCCTAGATATTGACCATCCTTTCGCAAGGATGAAGTGACCTGAGAGACGTTGACTGTTGGCTTTGCGGGGTAGATCAGGTTTTCTATTTAACTTTATTTCTTGTGATGAGGATCAAAGATGAAGATGAAATAACATTGAGGTAACTTTGATTTGTGATTAAAAGGTAAAAAGAAATAAATTCAATTCATGAAATGATAGAATTATAATAATAATGAATTTCATCAAACAAACAGTTCTTTTCATTTTAATCATGATTAATCTAAAATATTCATTCAATTTTTTTGCATATTCATAATATTTATTAGTAGAATGAGATAAACTCTATCGTCTAAATAAAATTAATAACATGTCTTGTTTTGTAGCTACAAATTAATTTAATTAAATGTTGAAATATGAGAAAATGCTCACAATGATTATCAATTTTCAGATTATCAATCAAATTTAATGAACTTCTCGAAATGAATCAGATTTGATTCAAAACCTTTGTAATTATCGGCCTGGTGAAGCGAAAGGTTAGTTACTTGAAGCAACAATTATTTCGGATTGATTTGAGAGCCATGAGCTATTTGATAATCAATAAATAGTTTGCTGATTAATTTAAATTAATTATCTGATTCCCAGAGGTCATATAACAGTTCTTAAACTGAAACTAAGCTAAAACATTGGCAAATCTCAATTTCTTATTTCAATTTCGCAGAAATTTAATTACAATTTAATTGCAGAACTGAAAAGTATCTTTCAATCAATCGACCAACTTTCAATGCATTAATCAACCTCAGGAAATAAAGAAAACTTGAAAATCTTATCCTTGTTATTCACAGATTTAGATTAAAACTGTATCAATGCGATAAGATTAAAAGATTTAATGAGATAATTAGTATTCATTATCTTTGTTTTACAACAACAATTAAGTTATTAAACTCTGAAAAGTTAATCGTTTCCCTTTTTCTAATTGATTGAGTTAATTGAATTGCTTAATTAATGAACAACTTCATGGACTTTTTTTTTGTTTTTAATTATCGACAGTATAAAACTTGCGAAAAGAGATTGATCTAATCCACGAAAAAACAATCAACCAAAGTGAGTAAATGAATTATTATGATCAACATACCTTCAGGATATTCAAGTTTATCTTAGCATTTTCATCACTAAATCGTGCTAACAAGCTGATTATACCTTTGATTATCATTATTAACCTTAAAATTTACAGAAATTAGCGTTAACCTCATCGATACGATTGATCACTTACTTGTGGCTAAAATAGGTAAAAGTAAACAAATGTTGGTCAATCAGTTAATTAGTGCTCATCAAACAATGAAACTATTTATATTCAAGTTCTGATAAAAATGATGAAGATCAAATAGATGATGAATGGAAAATGATAGATTAGCTTTCAACAAAATAGCAACAATGATTTAAATATCATCGTTTGTTGAATCTACATCAAAATAGAATGAGATAGAGAGATTAAGATGATCAATCGGCTAATCAAATATAATTTTTTACCATCGCCCTCATCATCATCGCCAACACCATCATAATCGCCGGAATAAAATGAATTTACAACAATCAACTGATCACCATCTTCATGTAGACATTTTCTATCAAATTTCAAGATGAAATTCTCAATTGCAACACAATTTTCAGGTAACATGAATTGGCGAGTTTATCTTGTATCATGATTTTTATAAATAACAAAATCTTCGTCTCAATTTTACTGACAAATTGTGAAGATAAAAAGTATGATCGAAATATAATTCAAAGTGACTTTACCTTAATCACGACGTTTACAAAGGTTTGATAACTTAAATTATCAAGGACTTTATGATTATAGAAACATCATGAAAGGTGAACCCGAAATAATTGGTGAACATGAACCAGAACAAATTGAACTAATAATCATTATATTGTTGGTACTCATGAAGACGATCAAACTTTAATCATGATAACATTCATTAAATTGAAGGTCTTGTTTGGTTACTCATAAATTAATCAATTTCAATCATTTCGTGACTTTCATTTAAATTGAAAGAAAATTCTATTGACAAAATTAAGATCGTCACCTAGCATGAACATTCTGAGGGTTTAATCATTAACATTAAAACTTTTCTTCATTAATTATCAAGCCAATGAACTTTAATTAGTTATTAATCGACTCTCATGTTGACAAGTTTATTTCATTGAAAAGTTAATAGCATCAAGATTTTCTTACCATTTCCTAATTATATCGAAACATCAATTAGATTTTAAATGGATTAAATTATTTATATTAATTTTAAAGTAATTTGTCTTCTGGCCCAAGTGTCAATCTTTAGATTGGTTAATCAACAGAAGCTAATTAACATCACTCAAAAAAGGCAGGAATCAATTGCATTTGTTGTCTATTGATGATTCTTATCATCAAGATTGATTTCACAACAAGTTGATTATTAACTCATAACCAGAAAATGTTGATTTACCTGTAATCATGATTTGTTATCATTCTGTTTATTTCAATGACTTATAACATAAAAGTGTCAAGCAGAAACTAGTTGATAATAGATCAGCTTATCATCAATTTATTAATAACAAAATGAGAAGGATGTAAACACTAAACCTACACACATTTTATTGTTTGGTGTTAAATCACTCGATGGGATTATCATCAATTGTAACGCTAATAGATTAGATTGTATTGAATTATCATTAATCCATCTTTAGGGTTGAGAAAATATATTATCTTCTAAATCAAAAAAACTTTTGCATCTTATTGTTAGTAACTACTAATATAAAATGGATGTGGATAATGTACTCCTTTTATATTTTCGAAGTTAATTTAGAATAAATTTAATCGAATACAACCTTTCATAATGATAACTTAATAAAATATGATAAACATCAAGTATTATTGTTAAGATTGATTCCAGCTAGTAGTAAGATGTGCTCATTAGAATTTGCGAAAAAAGTTTGCAGATTTTTTGTTCTTCTTTCTGTAAGTTCCATGAAAATGAGGATGAACAGGAAAAAATCACACGTGGATTGAAATTTATTGTTTTTCTTGAATTAAACTCTTTAAATTCAGAATGTTGAAAACTCTCATCTAATAGAATAACGGTATTTTTGCTCTTAAAATATGAATAGTCACTAAAATGAGCTTACTCAAAAAACTTCCACCAAGTTTCTCGTTTAACTTTACCTTTGAGTTTTCAGCTCTTCGTCAGTTATCAAGAAATACACCCTACACAGGCTATTGTCTTCCAAATCAATGCATTTGGGGTGTCTCTATCTGTAGTGATTAGCTATCATTAGAATTATCAAAATTATAACAATAGAGAACCCAAAAGCTTTAATTGAATAACTGATTAGAAAATTTGATCGATGAAACTGGAATTATAAACTTAGCAACTAAATTCATTAGTATAAGTAGATAGTTGAAGTTGATGTTCGAATTGAATTAGTTAGTAACAAATTGGAAACTCAGCAAGAATGAAAATATTGATAATTGTGCTACTTTCCATGGGTAAGTCGTAATTTCAGTTTAATTTTCTTTAAATTATGATTTATTCTAAATTACTTGATTACAATTTGATATTTCCAGGACTGGAAAGCTCATCAACAGCTCCACTAGAAGAAGCCAAGTTTCTAAGACAAATAGTCGATCAATACAGTCCACCATTGATCATCTCTTTTCTTCATTCTCGAATGGATAACAATCAACAAATGATTAAGAAAATCAAAAATTCATTAACAGACTTGGATAAATCTAAACGAGATATATTTGATTTAGCCGAGAAAACCTTACAATTACTCAGTAATCAACTAACCGCTCTGGAAAAAGCCGATTATTTTGACCATGATGGAACTGAAAAGGTCAAGTTTTTTGTTGAACAATTTATTATGGTCGATGAATTTTACCCAATTGATTTTGGTTCTTATGGAATGACCAATATCGAGTTAACTGTTGACGGAATATTGGAGCAATTAAAAACTCAGACATTTGACAAATTACACAACCAAACCATCACATTGATTGAAAATTACCTTTCTGATATTGAGGACAAGGAATCAAATGTGAATTGTAATCGATTGCAACAAGTATCGATCTCATTGGCAAAAGATGAACTACATTCACTTATTAACCATCTTTACACAATTAAAACCACTAATTACAACAATGGGCAACCTTACAATAATAATAATATTAATGATCCACGAAAAGATGAGATTGATAAATCGTTGAAAAGATTGAAAACAATTGTTGACTTTTTCTATTCACAATTTAATTATCTCGCTGATAAAGAATCAGCTTCAACATCTAAACCAACAATTAATACACCAAATTATCAACCAGAAATGTCTAACAAAACATACTTCGATCTAAATATTGATGCAGAAGTTGCAACAACTTCTCCATTAGCTGTACGTGGTTCATATTGAGTGCAATGATCAACAATTTATTAATAATAAAATACTGGTAACCAAGGATGTTTGTGATAATCAATTACTTCCTATCCTTTCTTTCATTCATTATCAATAAATGAACGAATGCATAAAAATGCATTGCACAGTTCCAAGAGGTGGTAACTCACATTTGTAATAATAAGTGACATTTAATTTACGGTTGATATTGGTTTTGAAACTTTTCATTATTGTACCTCTGACATTTCCAGTATCACTCTTTTCCTGATTAGTAATGAGATTATAAATTGAGTCAGTTGATTCGTTTGTTTATTTTTCGTGATTGAATCTTAGTATTACCCAAAATAGCGAATCATGTCCAAGACAATCAAGTATCGAAGGTCCCATAGCTATCAAAATACTCGTCAATGGCGTATAAATCCCAGGTAAAAGTTCAGAACTCGAATGATGCTGATATTCGTATAATAAGCAATCGATACCTTTAAGAAAGACAAGTCAACAATAAATTCCAATTCAATATCATGATGAACATAATGAGTCTAGAAAATTGTTAATTTATCTTAATTTCGATAAGTTAGTCTGAAAACTTTACCCATAATCACTTTACGTTCGTAACTGTCCATTCCGTTTTGGTCTTTTATATTGTAATAATTATTGAATCTATTCTTAGGCGCGTCAACTAAAATTGTAAGGGAAACGCTTCGATTGTCTCTTTTCCCTCTTAATTATTTTCTCTCTCCATCAACAATTAACTAATTATTACATTTGTTTATCCCGCTCTAAATCTTTGTAACCAATCACATGTTTTCCCTACCTGGATAAATACCTTAACCATTTCCTTTTCCAAATCAATCAGTTGTACACCTTTACCTACAGTTAATCTCTTACCTTTTCTCTACTCTCAACTTCACCTTTAACCTCAAGTTAAAGCTTATCCTCTCTCTTTCTCAAATTTCCGTTTCCTATGTTACAATTCTCAACAAAGTGATACTATTTCAATTAAACAATTTCCTTAATTAATTTATTGTTTACTGATTGTCAAGCTATTCAGCAAAAGGGCTATCAGGGTAAATTACTTTGAACCCTCTCACTGATTGTTAGGCTTTGCAGTACGATAATAATCGGTTCATTTTTGTAAGGGTGCCTGTACCTCATCCCCGTGAATTAATTAGACCTTACAAAATCATACCGTTAATTGTTGATGTTGATGAAATAAACTCTTGCATGAAGCATCTATCTCCATTACTCTATTAATTACAACAATTAGTTAATTTGGTTTCAATTTAACGGTATTTTTACTTTTGAAAGATGAGTTATCACTAGAAGGAGATTGCTAAAAAAACTTCCACCAAGAGATAGCAGAAACAATATCTATTCAGAGATAAAGTGAGGAATTAAATTGAGTTTCTCTTTAAGCTTTACCTTTGTTATTTCCATCTCTTCGGCATTTAGCCAGGAATACACCTACAGACAGTTGTCTTCCAAATCAATGCATTTGGGGTATCTCTATCTGTAGTGATTAGGCATCATTAGAATTATCTTAAATTGTAACAATAGAGAACCAAAAAGCTTTGAATAACTGATTAGAAAATTTGCTCAATAAAATTGAAATAATAATAAATCGAAGTACTGAATTCATTGGTAGTGGATAGTTGAAGTTGATGTTCGAATTGAATTAGTGAGTAACAAATTGGAAACTCATCCAGAATGTTGGAAAATTAAAAATGTTGGATTTGCCTTTGGAACTTTATTTGTAATCAACATCAATTTCATCACTTCAATGTTCACTTTGGAACGAACTGAGACATTACGTAACATCACTATGGCCAATTTCTTTCAAAAATGATTTACCGTCACAATAAAATCTCAAAATCTCATCAATTGTCATTTACTTGCGAGTTAAAATACATGTATAAACCAAATTGATAACTTACGTCTTGTTCAATTTGATTTAACACTGAAATAAAATTCAATATGAGAAATTGCATTGAATCTCATTCATCAGCTTGAAAACGATTATGCAACGATATATTAATATATGAATTGTGCGAAGTGACTATTTATTGATTTATTTCGTCGCTAGGCTAAAGTTTAATATAAAAGTTCCAATATTGATTTGTTCATTACTCTTATCTATTGATGAGCTATCGACATGCTCATGTAATATGAAATAGATGTTTCTTAAGTGCCGAGTTTACCTTACTCATTTTTCAAGTCTCTTTACCGTTTTAACTTTGTTGAAAATGATTAATGATCAAATAAACTACAATTCAATTGTTGTAAAAGATGTTATTTTCCATCCTCAGATAATTATTAGTTCAGATTCACCTAAATGGTTTGTGAGATCCACAACGGGAATTTTTTCCGGTCTAGTGTTTATAAACTCAGTGTCATTGGATATTTATAATGACAGTTTCGCAATGAAAGAGGATAAACTTTCAATTTTTCGAATAGTTTGCGCTGCTTTCAATCTTACGATTTTGGGACTCCGAATGATTATCGCTTGTTCTATGAATTGGTCGTATTTTTGTGATTATATTCAACGACTTTGTGTCTATGATATTGATTCCAACTCATGTTCTGTTGAAAAGATAAGACGAGCTCGTCGAATTAAGAAAATTGTTCTGGTCATACTGTTTCTTTCATACGCTTGTCTACCTTTTCGATTATGTCACAAAAAGCTCTTTTTTAAAGGTCAATGTTTTCTAGTTAATAGTTTCAATGTCATTGCAACAATTGGTAACTTTTTCTTACTCAATTTAATTGTTGATTCTTGTATATGTTTGGAAGTGGCTTTTTCCTCGATAAATGTTAGGATTAAAGATTTTCCTCGAAATGAGGCCCTAGAAATACTGCTACAACAAATGAAAAAAATTCGATTAAACTATAGTCATCTGATCCGAGCAACTCAATCAAGCGAAAAGTTCGGGCGATATTATATAACCTTATTATACATTCAAATGGGGGTATTTGGTGTTCTTAATAATGTTCGTGCTTTTGGCAATACGAAAATCGTAGATCCTACTTGGATTATCTACACAGTAGCTGATGTTATTTACCTTGTTTACTTTACGAATAGATTTGTTTCACTTAATCAACTCTCAAATCATGGATTAGAGGATTTATACGAAATCTCACTAGGAGCAACAAGTCGTCGATTTCAGTATCAGGTTTGTTTATTAATAATTCCTTCAATAAAATAAGAAAAGTCAACTTAAGGGTATGTTTAAGGATTACTCTGGATGGAGCTGCATGATCAATTGCAAACTTTATCTACCGAAGTTAATTAAATATTTTTGTTTAAATTAGTTTGTGTTAAGTCTTCATTAAAAGAATCAAAATCGAGAAAGTAAGGCCCGGAGAGCCTGAGAAACTCAAACATTCGAACAATTAAATAATTTGGTTGATTATTTGAACTGCCCGGTTGACCCTTATTGTCCATAATTATTGCCTATTGAGCTTCACCCAGAATAATTCTTAAACTATACCAACCATTTTTCAAATATTCTTTTCTTCAGAATAATATGTTCATGGAACGAATGCTCTGGAAAAATGTTGGATTCACTTTCGGAAATCTGTTCGTGATAAATACTAATTTTATCGTCTCGTTGTTCTCATTGGCACTTACGTTGACCCTCGCTCTCATTAATTTTTTCTATTTTTAGTATTAATACCTTGGGCCAATTGCAGAAAAACATTAGCGAAAAAATAATAATCAGAATCTATACGATGAGAATCAATATATTTTGATATCAACTAATCATTCATTGATTATGTCGAAACTACTCACTGACTACCTGCTCGAACAAAATAATCAACAGGAGACTTCTCTGTGGCGATTAAATTAAATCCAGGAAATCTTTTCATTAGAAACAGAAACAAGAGATCAATCATTTGCGGACTTGCACAGTAGTCGAGAATCGATATTACTTATACTGTAGTACATATCATAGAGAAAGGATTAGTTCCAATTTAGTAATATTAAATCAGTTTAATCGTGGAGTAATCAAAGACATGGAAGGTTCTAATGGTCCGAGTGAAATTAATAATTCAATTATTCTTGCTGGTTTTATATTTCCATCGAGATGGATATTCTCATCTTTACCTAAATGGTTCCTAATCGTGGCTATCGGTATCATTGGCTTGATCCAATCACTTTTCTATCAGCTGATTGGTACAGTTTTACATCGAATCGAATGGACTATTTTCGTTCATGTTGGCACGTAGATCAATTATGCTTCTAATAATGATTTCACGTCTATTTGTTGTGTTCTCTTTAGACTGGTCAAGCTTTCGTGATTACTTTCGCTATCTGAGTAATCTTAGTCTCGATACAAATTCTGTTCTGATCATAAAGCGAAAACGTCGAATTAAATACATTTATCTAATAACATTGATACTTTCTTTCCACATTCTCTCTATATTTTCTCCAAAACATTTTGATAGTAAACTTTTAAGTTTGCCTTCGATTGTAAAATTTTCTCTTCATGTTTGCTTCGATATTGGAAATTCATTCTTTTTAAACATAGTCATTGATTCTTGTATTTGTTTAGAAGCTATTTTTGACTCGATAAATAAGAATATTAAAAACTTCTCCTGTCATGAAACCCCGGCAACCATGTTAGAAAAATTGAGAAAGATTCGATTAGGTTATAGTTACGCAGTATTTGCTTCACAATCAATCGAAAAGTTCGCCCGATATTTCATAACCATATTATATATTCACGCTGGAGTATTTGGAATTGTAAATGTCGTTGATACTTTTGGTCATCCAAAGAATTTCAATTTCATTTGGATTCTTTTTATGATTGCTGATTTCATATTAATCGCCTACCTCACAGCTCGACTGGTTTCGATCAATCAAATTGCGATTTATGGATTAGAAGACTTATACAATATCTCTTTCTCACCAAAGTCACAACAACTACAACACGAGGTAAATTTCACTTATAATCAGATTGATTCTATTACTGATAATCTCTTTTCTGTTTACACAATTAGCATGACATCTTCATAAATCGAATCCTTTGGAAAAATGTTGGATTTACCTTTGGAAATCTATTCGT